CATCCTCATCACAGCCTCATTCTAGCCACTGCAGAGCGAAGGCCTCATCATTGTGTCACCATGCATCCCTGCCCTGGGTCAAACGTAACCATGTAGGCCCTGCAAAGGCTACCAGTCCATCTCTCCGTCTTCGTCGCTGGCGACCCTTCTTACGCCTACCATCTTTGGGTCTCCATTCTGTTGTAAGTGTAGTCAATCTTCCATCTCTTCTCCCAGTGACAAGGGCAGTCTTTTTGTTTGTGTGTTTGTTTTTCCTTAAACGTCTTCAGTCTTTAAAGTGCTTTTCTCTTGGTTCACTCAACCATTAGCTTTTTCTACTCCAATAAGATTGCAAGCAAACCTCCATGCTCTGCAGTCTTGCTTGACGTTTGCCCGTGCCTTGGTGAACATCCATCTTTCCGCTCCATATCCTGTGAATGTAAGGGTACGTGCCTGTTGATGAATACTGATTGGCATTGTGAGAACACTAAGTTCCTATGAATTGTTAAAGTGAGTGCCTGTTTCCTTACCCTTCGGCTTTCTGATTTCACTTAGGTAAGTTAGGTCAACAAATGCTATGTACCCTTTGAGTTCTTTGCCATCTATTCCTTTATTATTTTTTTTTCATATTTCTGAGCATGACTAGTCTTTTGCTATGCTTTGGATCACTTTACTTACTCTGTTCTCAATCTAAATCCTCCATGGTGTAGCGTGTTGCATCTAAGCTATTTTACTCCTTGATGTGGCTCAGGTACTTGGTTTAATCTTGATCCAATCTTTCCTGCCAACTCAGTTTGAAAAGATCTTTTCCAAGTAAGAGATGGAGATTTGCTCCTTGTGTATTAATATAGGTGTCCTACAAATTTTACTTCTCTCGTAATCTAAAAGCATCAGCCAACAATTATAATATGCATATACATAAGGCCTTAAATATCCAAGGTGATAGAATTCCAGTAGTTCTCAGACATTAAAATAAACTACAGAATGAAGCAACCAAGCTCTTGTCTTTGTGATGTTCTAAGCTACTGAAGGCAATGGCTGTGGTTTGACAGAGCCCACCTAGAAATGCGATGTCTGAAAGCTTTAGTGTGTGCCAAGCATCATAGAAACTTGTTATTTCTATAACTAGTTGCAGCATTTGAAGCAGGAGGAAGTCAAAATATGCATACATTGTAGCATTTAAAAGCCGCTAAATGTCCAATACCCTTTCTTCGCCTCATTTACCCTTTTAAAGCTATCTTCAAACGGCAGCAGTTTTCTTTATCCTTTGCTTCCACCCAATATCAGTGTGGTCATCACATAGTTTCCATTCGTGCTGAATATCAACAGACTGCTTATTATTCCTCTCTCTCTTTCTCTCTCTCTCTCTCTCTCTCTCTCTCCCTCTCCCTCTCTCCCTCTCTCCCTCTCTCTCTCTCTCTCTCCCTCCCTCCCTCCCTCCCTTTCTCTCCCTCTCGTCTCCTAACCAGATTACAACATTCATTTGTCCTTTTTATTTATTCATCCATTTGATATGTGTGCTTCTCCATTGCGCTATGCACTGTTGACACAGTTCGAGATAAAGGTGAATTAGAACAGAGTACAGTCTAATGCATTCTGACCGGGGAACAGTTCACTTCATTCTATGTATGAATAATTCCTTCTGTATTTAAAAATTATAAGCATAAATGAGCATGTTATTTAGCATTTGCAGTTTTGTTTTTGTGTATTGTTGTTTGTTGCTGCATATTAATTTCATTGCCTTATCACTTTGTAAATGTTTCCATAGCATACTTAGTGCTTCAGAACATGGACTGGAGCTGCACTGCATGGGTTGTCGTCCAGGGGCCATCACTTGCTAGCCATTCAAATGTGTTACTAAGATGTGTTACCTTTCTACTCTGTGTTCTTGAGTGTAAGATGCATATGAGCATGTAAAGCTACCTGACTGGAGTTGTCTGATTAATTGACCAATACAAATACAGCATTCCATCAGTGCCTGGTATAGATGAAGTGCCCTATGATTATACCTTAAACCTTTTTCTGATGTGAAATTTATATTTAGTAATTAATGAATGCATTGATGATATCACTTTTTAGTTCTTTGGGATTAATGAGAAACCTTCTAAATTGAGGATTTAGAAGATAGAAAAAAGTAGGCAAGCCTTACTAATCTATAGCTTCTGTTTTTCATATGTGCTATAGTTCTATGATGACTATTTTTAAACAGGAAGACATGCTGGAATTTTCTGCTTGCTTACTCTTGGATTTCCTGGAATACTTGTTGGGCAGTGAATGATTGCAGACTTTATACTCTCAGACTAATGGGATTGGTCAAAGGATAAAGCTTACCAGAAATAATGAGGTTTTCAGGAAAGTTGAAACATTTACCTATTATGACAAGTTGGAAGGCTTTTCCTACTGCTTTTTGTTTTAAGACAGGAACTTGCTGTGCTACTCAGACTAGCCTCAAAGTCTTGATCATTCAGCACTTAGCTTGTTAAGTGCTGCAATTACAGGCATGTGCCAGCACTCCTGGCTTGAGATTTGGATTTTAATGTTCACTTTTACTTAAAAAGGGACATTGCACATATTTTGGTACTTCCTTACAGTTGTGATGGTGTATTAATATTATAACAATATGTAAGGTTTATATAGTGTTTAACAGTTCACAAATATTTTCACACGTGCATTTAAACTTCAAGGGGGTGGGGCTGGAGAAATGGCTCACTGGTTAAGAACACAGGTTACAGTTTCAAAAACTGGGGTTCAATTCACAGTACCCACATGGTGGCTCACAACCTTCTATAATTCCAGCCAGGGAATCAGATACTCCCTTCTGACATCTGGAGGCAATGCATGCATGTGGTACACAGACATGTATACAGGCACTGAATGAATGTGGTACATGGACTACATACAGGCACTGAATGAATGTGGTACACAGACGTGCATACAGGCACTGCATGCCTGTGGTACACAGACGAGCGTTCTTAAAATCCCAGTGCACTCAGCTACAACTCTAAACTCAATAACCATTTAAACCTCAAAATAGATGAGCTCCTAGGTATTGGGTGCACATTCAAGTCCCCAACTCCAGTGGAAGATTTTTTAACCTCTAGTGACCTTCCACCTTATTGGCAAATATGAAAAATGGAGGCTATATGATGTTTAGTTATTAAGGGAAATTGTTCAAATGAATGAGAATTAGTTTGCATATCAGTGTCTGAATGAAATAATGTCTCAAAGACTTCAGATACTTGATAGTCTCAGTTAAGTAATTACTTGTAGCATTTCTGGTTTTTAATGAATTTATAAATACCTTGGTTCAGTCTTGAAAAGACCAGATTCTCTCCTAGTCACTGATAAAATAATACAAGATTGAGTAATCACAAATATGTTTTTGACAGAGAAGTAAAGACATTTATTATTACTGACCTTAAATATTTGTAGAACTATTAGATTCAAGAATGGTCCAGCATAATGTAAAACACAAGACATGTTTTAGGCTCAATATGAAACATGACTCAGGGCTGGAGAGATGGCTCAGCAGTTAAAGAGCACTGACTGCTCTTCCAGAGGTCCTGAGTTCAATTCCCAGCAACCACATGGTGGCTCTCAGCCATCTATAATGAGATCTGGTGTCCTCTTCTGGCATGCAGACATACATGGAAGGAATGTTGCATACATAATAAATAATTCTTAAAAAAAAGAAACATGACTCTATGAAACTGTCATATTAGTGGCATAGTCTCCAAATGTAATGACAGCTCCTGTCATTAGAGGGGTTTGTAGTAAAGAGGAGTACAGTAATGGGTGGTGATAAAACTAGGACGTTTTGATTTATACCGACTGTGAAATTCTTTAGTTCTGGACTGAAATGAATGAGAATTAGTTTGCATATCAGTTTCTGAAAACTTTCTTTCATTCAAAGCTCAAGGGAAATAGTTTCAGAAAAATAAGATTAAGTCATCATGTCAGTAAACACTTAGAGGCATGCTGTATGCCTTACGGAATAAAATAGCAATGAATAAAAAGTCCTGATTGTTCCGCAACTTTAATTTCTGCATCAAAAGTATTTACATTAAACTATTGAAAGATATATAGTTATTTGAAGGTGAAAATAACAGCCTTTGAGTTATAAAATACTGAGTTACTTAAAATAGGTAATGTAAAACAAAATTTGATTTAAGCTACTTGGAAATTTTTGCTTCATACAATTGAAGTTCCACATATATTTAGCTGTGAGTGCTCTTCAGTTTATTTAGATTTAGTAAATAACTAATATATTTACTATATATCATAAAATGCCAGTTTGTATATTAACTTTACCTAAGTGAATTCAAATGTCTAGGAAATGTGAATATTGCTTGTGTAAATTGAGTTTGATAAGCTAAGGAAATGGAGGTATAGTTTAAATAGCAAGTTGTTCATTAAGAGTTAAAGAAAAGAAAGAAATACAGGTTATAGTTTATTGTATGTTAGTTTTTCTTTTCTTCATTCGTAATCATTAGGACTATTTCCTTCATCTATTCATTTAAAAGCTTCCTGAATCTAGAATGATTGTTTACACTGCATTGTTCAAAGCATGAGATTTTTAAGTTCAAACAACAGACAGCTCACTTTCTGGTGTCCTAAAACTTAACTTCAAAAGAGTTTCTAACTTCAAGAATTAAGAAAAATATCTTAACATTTATATTTTGACGTTTAAATCAGTTCATTCCTTCATTTCAGTGAGCAGTATACATTGTCCATATGCTGTGCACATGCACAGCATCTTATGCTGACAGTGTGAATTCAAGTTAAACAAAATGTTCAGTTTCCACACTGGGTGAGACTAAGTGATGTGTTTTACTGTTGATGATGAACATGGTATCATAAGCATCGCGTGGCCATTCTCTGCATCCCATCAGTAACTGGCCTTGAATTATACTGGATAAATGTTGTCTTCTGTCATTTTATATTATTTAATACACTTATTTGTACTTGATTGATTTGCTTAGCTACTAATGTACATAATATATTTTTCCCTCCTATTCCAGGCACCAAGTATAGATGAGAAAGTAGATCTTCATTTTATTGCGTTAGTTCATGTAGATGGGCATCTCTATGAATTAGGTAAGAACTGTTTTAATTTATCCTGGGGAGAGAGAATTTGTTGTAAAAGGGACTATTCTCACTTTATTTACTGAAATTGCTAGAGAAACAGTGACTATGATGTATACTCCAAGATTTATAAAAGTGATGGTGGCATTGAAAATGAGAGAATTGGTAGAAAAGATAGGAACATCTGAGCTGTTTGGAGAAGAGCAGTGAGAAGGAAAGAGTTGTAGTAAAACTCCATGGGGCTGGGGTGTGCTGGAGAGGAGGGAGAGCACTGGCTCCTCTAGAGCTCCAGTTCCAAGGGATCTGACATGACACCCTCTTCTGGCCTCCGCAGGCACCAGGCATGCATGTGGTGCACAGACATTTAGTAGCAAAAGAGTCATTTAAAACAAAACAATAATGAAAACTCCTCAGCTGGGCGGTGGTGGCACACGCCTTTAATTGCAGCACTCGGGAGACAGAGGTAGAGGCAGGCAGATCTCTGGGAGTTTGAGGCTAGCCTGGTCTAGAGTGAGTTCCAGGACAGCCAGGGCTACACAGAGAAACCCTGTCTCAAGACAACAACAACAACAGAAAAAAAAAAAATAGAAAGAAAGTAAAACAAAAAAGAAAAAGAAAAAATCCCAAAGCCCTCAATTTGGTTGGTCAAATTGTTCTCTTAGCCTAAAGGCTAATGGGGCAGTTAGAAGGAAACACATACATCAAAGGTAATCTCAGACTGGAGAGGTGGCCCAGAGGTTAACAGGAAGACACACTGTTCTTGCATAAAACCAAGTTCAGGTCCCCAGCACCTATATCAGGCAGCTCACAGCCTCCCATGACTCCAGCGCCAAGGGATATTGTGCCCTCTGTCAGCCTGTATGCATGTGGTCATGCACGTGTGCACACACATTAGCATTTTAAATATACACGACTGTATATATTAGAGGTCTGTTGAGATTAGAGCTTTAAAAGTGCATTTAAAGAAATGTAGAAATGTAAAGAAAGCTACAGTCGTGAAACTGTTGCAGAGAGTTGGGGTGGGTGCAAAACAAATAAATATGCGGTTGCTGATTCCTTCCACAAAAGTAGGCTGTTATCCAATGTGAATGACATTAATGCTTCTAACAAATTCAAAAATAATTTTGAGCAAGCTGAATAATTCATACTGAATTTGTGAATAAAAATAGAGATTATGAGAATACAATTTTTAAGAAAACAGCTATTTAAAGTGGCTCTTGGGATTGCACCTGGGGCCTCATATGCGCTAGGCAAGCAGTCTGAGGCTGAGCTCCGCACCCAGCGTCGTCTTGTTTTTAAGACATGTGGTTGTCGGGTGACGCAGGTGGTTCTTACAGGGCAGTGTATTGCAGTCTTACTTATTTTCTCTTTCCTAGGTTGTCAGGTTAACTGATGAGAAGGACCAAGTTATTTCTGGTTTTTAATTATGATTTCTTTTCTTTAAGGCCTCTGTAAGTTTCTAGTATATTTAAAGATGAATCACTCCTAGATAAATTTGCAGATTGGAGTTCAGTGGCAAATTCCAAGTACACAGAATAAGCAAACATAAAAATGTTAACTGATAAATTATTGCCTTTAAAAAGTAAACTTCAAAAATTATATTTTTGAATAGTTTTGGATATTTATGGAAATTAGAATAGTACATTCTCCCATTTACCTTTCTCCTAGGTTTGGCAGATCCTCTTAGTATTTCTGAAACATTTGAAAAAATGTTACAGACACGATGCTGTAGTATCTTTTAATAGGTTTTTGAGTATTTCCTGAAAAGAGGTAGTTTTCTCTGCAGCTGCCATTTGAAATCAGCATTGATACATTATTACCTAAGGATCTGGCTATGCATTTATCATAGTAAGCCAGTTAGAGGTTCTGAAGTCAGCCCAGGATTATGACCCTTTGTGTATCATTGTCTCACTAAATCCCAAAAGTTCTTCAGCTTTTTATTGTCTTTTGTGTCATTGACATTTTTAAGAGGCTAAGACAGGTGTTCCTTCTATCTGGGTGGTCTGCTCTTTCCTCATGATGTATGTGTTTTGGGGCAAGAATATAACAGCAGCGAGGCTACATCCTAAGGCATTGCCCATTTCTGTCATTTTTGACGACGTTAACTTTTGTCACTTGGTTTAGTTAGAATCGGTCTGATTTTTCTACTACACTGCTGATTAATAATTATTCCATGTTTATTAATAAGCAACGAGTAGTTATTATTTCAGGAGATCTTTTGAGACTATAATAAATACGTAATTTCTCAACATGTTATCCCGTCTTCTTTTTAGAGAGGGTCTAACTATATAGCCTGGCTGTCTTCAAACTCACAGAGATGTACCTGCCTCTACCTCCCAAGTGTTGGGATTAAAGGTGTGTGTCACTGTGTCTGGCCAGTCATTACCATACTTAACAGATATATAAAATTAGAGCCAAACCTGGTGGTGCGGGCCTGAGATCCTAGCTGCAAGGGAAGCTGAGGCAGGAGGATGATAAATTCAAGTCTTACCTGGGTTACAGAGTGTACCAAGGTCAGTCTGGTGAAGGCAGTGAGTTTCCACCTCGGATTAGATCCAGGGCAGAGCTCAATGAGAGTTTCTAGCACATGTGGTGCGCTTGGGTCAGCCCCCAGTGCCTCACAATGTCAGTAACGAATCCACCTGCAGGCTGGCTGTCCAGCCCCGGCGTTAGCTTCGCTCTAAATTGATGCTAGAATGAAATAGTATAGCTTCATTTTGCTTCTTTGACATCTTAAGAGCAATTATTTAATATGTACTCTTAATAAGGTTGATTGAAATTCTACATTATTCTAAACTGTTTATGAAAGAACATTATTCAGGAGAGTTTATTGCTTCACTAGAGTCTAATAAAATATTAGAATATAAATGATACAATGCAAGGAAATAGACACATTAGTTTATTACTATTAGCTAAGGAGGGAAGCCTGCATTATTTTGCCTTTACATAAAAATGAAAAGGTAAAATGTTTTAGTTGTATGGTAGGCTGTAATGCATATAATCTACTCTTACAGCGGCAGGACGGAGGGCTACTGAGAAATGAGCATCTGTCATAAGACTGTTTTACTGTTGTGTTTATTTTTATTTTTGAAACAAGATCTCACTGTGCGGGAGGTTATAGATTTGGATATGGATCAGTTCACTTGATTAGCATTGACTTTTGTCATTGTGAACTTTTTTTGTAATATTGAGAAGTACTAGCTTATTGAAGGTGATGGTGAATTTGTGTAAATAGTTCTAGGTTGTAAATTGTTGCTTTCATCAGTAGTCCTCAAGCCACAGTAGTTGTTTTTTCATTCATAAAATCATGCCATTCTTACTTAGTTTTTTAAGAGTGAAAATCATACTGGGCAGTGGAGGCATGTGCCTTTAATCCCAGCAGGCACATCACTGAGTTCCAGGATGGCCAGTGAGTTTTAGGATGGCCAGGGCTACACAGAAAAACCCTGTCTCGGGGGGCGGGGAGGAATTTATTATAGGCCAATTGGGAATTCTTTTTTTGTACGGACCTATACACAAAGCAGAAAACATATCCTAGTTAAAATGCCAGGGAACCATCAAGCAGTAACCCAGAGAAGCCCCACTAATGCATTGAGGAAAGAAAGTGCAGCCATGTAAAGTACCTATTGAAATGAAGAAACTCAGGCATGGAGACGGCTGCTGCTCTGGGTCGGTGTTACTCCAAATGCGTAGTTACTTGAAATGTGAATGTTTTAAATATACTAACTGTTAATATTTGGTGGAAGCTAAAGCTATAGGTTACATATTTGAAAATCCTTGTTTTAAGATATAGTACTTAAACTATGTACCTCTCCTTGATTCATTGTAGGAGAGGAAATGGAAGGTAAGATACATTCTCTGGTAAAAACAAGAACTTGCCTATTTGTTTGTCTTCCACAGATGGACGGAAACCATTTCCAATCAACCACGGGAAAACTAGTGATGAGACGTTGTTAGAGGTAACAGTAAAAGAACTGGTCCGCTTTAGCCTTTTCTGACCTTTTGGACTCTATATTGACTGTTTTTTTTTTTTTTTCCTCTTGTGGATGCTTCTTGGTCCTTGATCTATTTAGAAAATCCCCACACAAAATCTTGAATCAGTCTTAAAACTATGCAAGCCAGAGGCTAGCAGAGCTCTGCGTGAGCAAACTGAACCTTGAACAAATCAAAATGAGTTGTTTATTTCTAGGTCATATTCTGTTAAAGCCAAGATACGTTAGTTGTGACTTGATCCCTGATTTTAGAGTTCTTTAATGGGAACAAGTTATGTGGCTTAGCATCAAGGAATTATGGAATTTTCGGGTTAAAAGTTGTTTTTTGAATTTTGTTGAGTTCTGAGACAGAGTCTCATTATGTAGACAACACTGGCTAGCCTGGAAACTGGCTGTGTGGACCAGGCTGGCCTTGAACTCAAAGAATTCTGCCTACCAATGATTAAAGACTGTGTTATCATGCCTTATGGGTTAAAAGGTTTCAAAAGTCACCTCAAGGAAGAGTATTCATCAGCTGGTTTTCATGGAGAGATTAATAACTATGCTACTTGGAAAAATTAGAAAAGAGGAATGGGAATTGACCTGCCTGACTGCAGAGTGAGTTTAAGATCAGCCAGAAGTACTTGGTGAGACTCTGAAAATGGAGAGGGGGCAGGGCTTCAGGAGAGGGCTTGCCAAGATTCTGGATTTGACCCTTAGTCCTGGAAGCAGGCAGGGGAAGGTAGTAACAGGATTTGCTGTATTTTATGCTAAGCAAATAAGTTTTATTTATTTATTTTATTTTTATTCTTTGACATTTTTAGTTTTTATTTCATATTGAAAAAAGAAGTCTTCGGTATAAAATTAGTGTAAATTAGAAACATAAAGAATCTTCAAATTGAAAACCTATACTTTTCTCCCATAGGATGCCATAGAAGTGTGCAAGAAGTTCATGGAGCGTGACCCCGATGAGTTAAGGTTTAATGCAATTGCTCTCTCGGCAGCGTAGCTTCTCGACAGAAATGCCAAATGTGTGTTATCTGCAACAAAACTTACATTTCTGCTGCCATAACTAACTCAAAATTTTTGATATTTTCATTAACTTGACTGATTAAACTTTATGTGAATAAACTTTGACATTACCTGTGTTTTGTGTTGTTTTTGCTGCAACTTAAAGGTCAGTTCTTTGTTTTCTTTTTCCCTGTACTAGATTTATCTTGTGGCAGTACTGACAATAGCCTTCTTATGCCTTTGATATTTCAAGATCGTGTATTAGGGCAGCAGGCACATCTTCCATCCCCAGTGTGAATGTACTTTATGTTTTATATGCTTCCTTATTATGTAGAAAACAGTTGTTGAGCGTTTACTTGTGGCAAGATGGTAACTATCCTAGCCATGGGACTTAGCAGCTGTGAACACTGTTGACCGATGCTGTAGTCATGGAGATTTGTTCTTGTGATCAGAGATATGTAGCAAAGACATAAAGAACAGGCAAAGCAGCAGTAGAGGCTAGCCAGTTAGTGTTTGTGCTAGAGAGTAACTGAGCGGTCTGTAGAGCTTCTTGACAAGGGAGCTTCTGGGAAAAGCTGGCCAAAGCTGAGGCCTGAGTGACAGAACATGAGCAGGAAATAATCATTGCAGCATCTTGAAATTATGATAGGACCTGATAGGAGGATTATGTGACCTGCACAGAGGAAGTGAGGGAAGTAGCAAGAAATGGGGTCAGAGGAGGAACGGTGCAGGAAAGGTCATTTGGATTCATTGCCATTGTGCTGTAAGTCATGGGGCTTGTGAATGGGAAAGAGTGAGCTGATTCGGTTTATAACTTTGAAAGATCATTCTGATAACCACAGATGAATATTTGGGGCAGAGGGCTTCAGAATAGAGACAGAAGGACTTGTGAGAAGCCCACGGTGGGAGTTCACTGAGAGGTGTGCTTTGAGGAAGGAATGGCTTCAGGAAGCTTTGAAAGAGAAGTATAAGGCTCTGAAAAGGTGGACGATTGTGTACAGAGTTGAATTGAGGCCTAGGGTTACTCAGATGGAATGTTTTAGATCTTTGCGGGGGAGGGGCTTCTTAAGCATGTGCATTTACCAAAGCTCATATTACTTATTATGCACATTTCGTCTCAGACAGCAAAAGTGGATTTGGGTTGGACTGAGTATAGTAGGAGAAAGACCTGCTTGTCCTGAAATTCTGGACCAGTGACAGCGTAGTTTAGAGGATTCACTGAATTACTGTGGATTCCCGAGGCAGTTATGTGGCAAAAGCACCTTTTAGCAAGTGTAGCATGGCAGTGGCGTGCACAAGATCAGGGAAAAAATACAGTCTAATTGGGAAGGCCACTTTGGAGGACATTTGAATTTCCCAGGTTTCCATCATTGGAAAGAGGGTCTAGATAAGCCGATGACAATTGGGATGAAATAATGTGAAATGCATCCTGTACTGTGGCTGCATATACGCACGATGCCTTTGCCATGCCAAGTGCTCTGTTCTTATAACATTGTGTGTTCACACGCATGTCACGCAGTCCAGTCTGGCCTCCTTGCACTTCTCCACTACACATAAGTTAGTTCTAAAATAGTGGCCCAGTATCCAGAATTACTCTTCCCTCAAGTTTGCTATGAAGAACACTAGGGGAAAAACTAACTTGTTGACATTTTACTTATTTTTTTTAATGTGTTACGGCCAGAATAGAGGATATTTGCTCATCATGTTTCACTCATGTTAAACGGGAACCTTTAGTGTTCAGGGAAAACTCATCTGAAGAGAATCTGTTTGCTTCTTTACTAGAGACTAAGGCCAAGCAAGTTGTGGCCCTTTCCTGTATAATGTGCATCACCATGATAAATCTAGGGGGAACGGTAGAGACACAGGGAATAAGTGTATTTGCGTGAAAGGCTTGGGGAGTTGACTAAACCTCTTTTATTAGGAGTAATTGCTTTGAACTCCTAACACTGCAAGAAAAAAATTGAAACGCACAGAGGCACTTTAGTTAATGGAGACACCATGGTTAATGTTACACTTTACATGTTTGTGCCTAAGACAAATGGCAAATCAAACTTTAATATCTTTAAAAATTACCTGTAATTACTTATAACAATACTTAAATAACCTTTTATTTCATTTTAGATTTGTATACAGTACTGATTAAGTCTTATCATCGGCCATGTGAAACATAATTCACTTATTTGCTGACAGTAATAAAATTTAAAGATATTTCTATCTGCTAATGTTGGTCTGTGTCAATAGCTTCCAAAATAAACATCTGCGAGCTGACCATTCTTCTACCAGTGTTTGTAAAAATTAAAGAGAAACATATCTCCAGGACCTACAGAAACTTTACTTATAGAAATACATTCTAGATAAATTTTGCATAGATGTGTGTGCATATATGTTCACGTGCAAATGCTTATATGTACATGTCCTGAAAATCGAATCCTCTATATGTGAGTTTCAAAGGTATCCTCAGACCCAACCATCAATAGATAGAAAGCATTTGGAAACATTAACATTCTTACACAGACCATGTATGTAGTATTTGCATTATGTTTGGGATTCCTGGCAATCTGGAGATTAACTTGAGTGCAGGAGAGTGTGTGTAGATGATATGAACCTACTGTGTTATATTTGCATGTGGGTGTCCTGGAGTTTGGTTTCAGGTGGGGTTGGAATGGAGGCCAGGACCAGTCCACAGATAAGGATGCTCATGTGCCCTCACCTTCACACGTGTTCACACTTGGAAGAGGCCATGGGTCTAGCTTCTTGGTATCAGTTAAATCCTTGACTGATCCTAAGGAAAACTGCTTGAAAAATGTTTCATCATTGCAAGATGTTTTGAGAGCTAGTGTGGTAGTTTGAATGGAATTGGCCCTCCATAAGCTCATAGGAAGATGCATTTTTAAGAGGTGTGAATTTGTTGGAATAGGTATGGTCTTGTTGGAGGAAGTGCTTCACTGTGGGGGTGGGCTCTGAGGTCTTATACATGCTTGAGTCAGGCCCAGTGTCTCAGTTCTCTTCCTGTTGCGTTTGAAGGTCAGAATGTAGAATTTGGATCCAAAGATGATGTTCCTTCTCCAGCACCATGTCACACCATGATGATAATGGGCTAGACCTCTGAAACTATAAGCCACACCATTAAATGTTTTCTAAGAGTTGTCATGGTCATGATGACTCTTAATGGCGATGGAAACCCTGACGAGGCTTTTAATATACAAAGTGTGATGTTTTTATCTTTTATGATTCTCTGGTAAGGTGTGTTCCCTGTACTTTCCTAGAATTATTACCAGAACCCAGGTATGGAACATGCTGTGTTCAAATAGCAGAAAACAGATTTTCTTCCTTTATTTTGATACAGAAATTTAACCTCAAAATACATAAATATTGTGGTATTAAAAATTGAATATTGTTAAGGCATTGGTGGGGAGTAGTGCCAGTAGTCATACCCATTTTGACTTCATTTCTTACATATTCTTACTTGCTTTGTCTTTGAAATAAAAGTTATTCTAAATCTGTGTCTTTTGGCAATTCCGAACCTGTTATTTATAGCCGTATGTTAGATGAAGATCCTCAGTGTGACATTTCTACAGTCCACAATCACATACTCTAAAGGAGCCCACCAAGACACTGAAGACAGACTGTTGTCCATAGTTCCTTGTCTAATGGTTAGTGTAGTTGGAAACGTCTTACTGAATACAACCTATACTGGAAACTGTTAAAAAATGAAGTAAAGTTACATAGAAAAATTACAATAAAGATTTTCAGAAATAGAAAAGGCATGTAGTTTAAATGTGAAGTTTCCCTGATGAGCTGGTGGTTGGACAGTTGTCCCTCAGTTGATGTCCTTTTAGAAGGTCATGGAACCTTTAAGAGTTGGAGGTTTGATTTCCCAGACCCACATTCTGTCCTTCCTGTCCTTGGTAATTCCTTACTAGGGATACGGTGTGACCAGCTGCCTTAAGACACTGGTGGCCATGCCTTCTCAACCATAATGGACTATATCCCTTTCAACTCTAAGCCAATATAAACCCTTCATTGCTTAAGTGGCTTCTGTTCAGACAAGTCCTCCAGAGGGATGAATATAAATTTAAAGTCAAGAACAAGGCCCCAGTGTTACACATTCACCTAATAGATGAAAACAAAAATTTTCAAGCCATTTTATCTTGAATATGTAGGATTTGAAGCACATACAAATATTGTAAATTCAGCCACTTTTTGTTTGTCTTTCTGTTATTTTTTATATAGTAAGACTGATGAAATTTTGATAATTGAGAACTTGCCTGTTTGGTGACACACAATGGCTTGCCACTTTTGCTTTAGGACAAAGCTGTAGAAAGTAGTTTTCAAGGAGGGAGCCTCTTCAGTGTCCTTGAACACTGAGTGCTTCGGGCAGGAAGCATCTACCTCATTCTCCACCACTGTGATCTTGTACACAGTTTGCACAGTCACCATGAATGCCATGCTGCCCTGTTTTATTTGCGTGCTCTTTATTTTATCCATCTAGTTCAAGCATGGTATTTCATCGTCTGGCTATAATTTAAAAGATGACTTTTAAGAAATTGGCTTATTTTTATCAACTAAAAAGCCACCCACCCACCTTCAATTTTCCTTCGTTGAGTATGAAGGGAATGTCCTGTCAGCTCTTTCCCAGTGTGCCTTGATAACTGGAGAATAGGAAGGCTTCAAAATAAGACAAGTGCTGATTTTGTTTTAGCAACTTTGAAGATGTGACCTGGAATGCTTAGTCAGCTATTCATCTCAGTGTGAACTGTTCCCTAACACTTTCAAAAGTGGATCGCGTGTTCCAGTTACCACAAGAATCCCAGTGAGGGCTTTCTGTTTCACAGGACGAATGGCCACTTCCTGTTGTCTTAACATGGAATGCCTGGGGAAAGTAACTAGAACTCAGCCAGAGACAGAGTACTTAGGACAACTTAGAATAACTTCGCTTTTGCTTGCTTCCTTTTCTCCCATTATCTTCCTCCTCACTCCCCCTTTCTGTAGCCCTCTCTCCTTCCCCCTCCATCTTGCCCCCTCTTCTTTTCTCTCTTTCATGCTCAATCCCTTCCTCCCTTTTTCCCTTTCCCTTTTTCTACTCTCCTTACCCCTCCTTCTCTCTCTCTCTCTCTCTCTTCTCT